TGGCAAGCGCACGCGCCCTATAGCGAAAAAACCCTCTCCAAAAAAAAAAAAAAAAACGGTGTTTCCTGTGAAAGTAAATTACCATGGAGACCTGGCCCCTAGAGTACCAAGCAGACAAAACCAGTTAGGCCTCACAAAGGCCCTGGACCTTGCTCAGTCTGCAAAGAAGAGAAACTAGTATCATTTCTGATAAATGCTTGTTAGAGGTAAAACTCAACCGCAGCCAATGATAGCAGCCAAATAAACAGAAGTATGAGACTAGGAGACCTTCCAACAAGGTGAAAACCGGAGAGTTTGTAATTAGAAACCAGTAAAACTTCTTTGTTTCCATATTTTCCCTATAAATATTTGCCTCTGATGTTCTGCCCTTGAAACACTACACCTCTTTTGGCCTAGTATGCTCAATCTATAGATAGCTTTATTTATTTATTTATTTTTTGATTATTAAGATTTTTGCTATTGGGTGCATGTGCTCTCCAGAAACAGACAGTGAAGGAAAGTGAGAAATCATCCCCCTGGGGGATGGCCAGGGCCAGGCTGCAATCCCTTCTTCATTTTCCTCTTGGGATTTTGGGCATGCATAGACATGTGCTCGCTGTGTTTTTCTTTTCTTTTTTTTTTTTTGGAGAGGTTTTTTCTTATTGGGTGTGTGCGCTTGCCAGACAGACAGAGAAAGACAGAGAGATAGAAAGTGAGAAATCACCCCCCAGGGGTGATGGCCACGCCTCAATCCCTTCTCCTCCATTCTCTTCTTGGGATCTTGGGCATGCATGCACATGCGCCCAATGTGAGTTTTAGCCACTGGGTCCAGGACTCAAACTACGGTCGACTACATAGGAGTCCAGTGACAGAGCCATTACGCCAACTGCTGGTCCCCTGAGATATAAGTAAGGAAGAAGGGCGATGCTGAGTCACATGCAGTGTGCTACATGATAGTTAAAAGTTCACTGTGGGGCCAGCAGGTGTTGTGGTGGTTGGGGGTGCTGGATTCCCACATGATTGACCATGGTTTGAATCCTGGACCTGTGGCTTGCTTTCTCGCTTTCCCTTTCTCTCTATCTCTGGTTAAATACTAATAATAACAACAAAAAAGAAAAGTTCACCTGTGTTTATGGATGGCCTGTGGGCCTAGACGTAAGACATTGCTGTCTGTGGGAGGGAAATCAATGAATTTTGTAACTCGAGGGTATCTTTCAAAAAAAAAACCAAAAAACAAAAAAGATGATATAAATTCCACCTCTATTGCTTTTTAGCTGTCTGGCTCAGATCAAATACAGTATAAACTCTTTGCCCTGGGGAGATCGGCCATGATCACAGACCGCCCTATGGCAGGTAAAAATCAGACAAGAGTCCTAAAAGGAGCATGGACTCAGTTTGAAGAAGGATGACTCATTTCTTCCCGGGGACAGGGCATGAGGAAGGCTTCCATGAAGGGATGGCCTCTGAGCTAGGCCCCAGAGGACTTGGAAAGGGAAAGTGGGCAAGTGTGGAGGGACAAAGGGCAGAAGTCACGGAGGAGAGCGGAGGCCCTGGGGGTGCTGCCCGCTTACCTTCGCCTGGTGCTCGATCTTGTAGGCGGTTTGTTGAAACTGGCGGATCTCTCGGATGATGTGGGATATCTGTGGGAAGGAAGGGAAGCTTCAGGAACTAGTTTGTGCTCCCAGTGCCATCCCGACTCTGCGGAGCTCATGGGCCCCATGGCCAAGTCTGAGTTTGGTGTCTTAATCCTGTATAGGATGCCTCCTGGAAGGTCCCATGGAGGCAACACAATAATCTTTAAACTGGAAATGTGGTTTCAAGGGTGCTGGTCATCGAGACTCCATAGGCCGGGGCTGGACGGAGGCGCAGCAGTAAATGCCATGCCATGCCCTGCCAGGCTGAGCCCCGCGGGAAGGTTCCAGGTTGGGTCTAGAGCCCTCCCTGAGCATTCAGGGCACATGCATGCCCATGATCCAGGGCTGGCTGAGGCCGGGAGTGGATCGCGGTCAAGGCCCTGTTGGGGGTGCTGTCTCTCTGTCCCTGTCTTTCTCACTCACGGAAGAAAGAGAGAAGTAAATTTTATAAAAAGACTCTAGGGCCAGCCCTCCCGGGTAGTGGTCAAGTGTTGTGTGAAGGCAGGCGGATCTCACGTGGCTGACTGTGGTTTGAATCCTGACCCTGGCAGCCTGAAGAACATGCCAGGTGTGAGTGCCCGTGTGTCTATATTCCTGATACAAAGGAATATTGGGGTCCAGCCAGGTGGCATGATGGTTAAGGTGGCTGAACTCCATGTGGTGGACTGTGTAGTTTGAATCCCAGACTCGGAGGCTTGAAAATCACACTGGGTGCATGTGCATGAGTCCCCAAAATTCAAGAAGGGAATGGAAGAGAGACTGCAGCATGGCCATTCCCCCAAGAGATGGCTTCTCATTCTCTGTCTCTGGTGAGTGCACGCACCCTATAGCGAACTGAGAAAACAAACGAGGAGAATGGAGGACGGGTGATTGTCATGTGATCAGGTCCCACTGGGGGATGCCTTCTCTCTCTTTCTCTGGTGCACACGTGTGCACGCCGGCATTACAAAACCAGAAAAGACTCTATAGGTTAATTATGGTATGTGACTGAGAGGAAAAACAAAAACTCCTTTAATCGGTGACACAAGCTATCCACCATCGCTCAAACAAAAGCCCAGGACGCCAACCCAGCGTAGGGGCCTCTGTCACTTTCTAAGCATCTTCTGTGTGCCAGACCCAAGAGAAAGGGCTCCTGTCCTGGCCATGGGACAATGCTTTCAACTTACATCTGACAAGAGACAATTTGTAGTAAACGGTCTTACGTGGAAACCCTGTTACAAAGCTGGCGAAAGCTGGAGGCTCTCTGGGTGAGGCGTGTGGTCTGCGTGTGGTCGGGGCCTGCGGAATGCTAACTGCTCACTAGGACAGGGACGGTTCTCACTGGAGAAGCTGGACTTGGGCTCCCGCGTGAAGGCACCCCATGGAGCAGGCTGGGCCGGGTGGGCAGATCTGGGCCCCTGTCCCTCACCCCGCCGGGGGACACGCACCATCCTCATTTTGGAGAAGTTGACTAGGCCGTCCTCCGTGTAATTGGGCGTCCCCTCCTCGATGAAGGCCAGGTCGGTGAGGTACATCCCCAGGTAAGGGACACAGGGCGGGTCACAACTTGGAAGTAAATGGCATTAACAAAAGGTTTTCACGTGAAAAAAGGAGCTTCCACCAAGAGCAGGGTGCCCCCCGCGCGCCTTTTGCTTTGCCAAAGCCCAAGGGACTTCTAGTCACCTGGGCTAAGAGGACACTCTTACGCTAGGGTCATTAGCTGGTCTGAAGGTCAGTCCCTCAGGGCAACCTGCGAGCCCTGAGGAAGGGGAGGCAGGAAGGAGGGTAGAGTAAGAACACAAACCCGGCCTGTCCCTCCCCTACTTGCTGCGTGACCCTGGGCCAGTCCTTTCCCTCTCTGGTCCTCAGGCTCCTGAAGCATCACACCCCTGGTGCTGGCTGAGACAGTGGTCTGAGAGCTGATTTTAGGTGATGCACAGGCATCTTGCTTTTACACGGGAAGAGACGGGGGGCTTTTACTTCCCCCTCGTGCGCAAGGACAGAGCGCCATGTGGTGGCAGCACAGCTTTCCCGTTTCTGACGCCCGCCATTCGCCTCCTCTCACTGGTTTTTCGTTTTAAATGAATAGCAACAGGTCTTGGGACCAAAGTGCCAGCATCCGTACCCGGCCGGACCTTAATTAAACACGGCTTAGTTAGGCCGTATTTACGTCTGATGGTGCCTCGCACTTAGGCACATAGACTGGCTTTCAGTTGATCGTCATCATATAAAACACTCCTAATTGAAATTTATTTTTTGGAAGAAGTGACTTAATTCAAAGGAGGAAAGGCGACAGATCTGCAGTTTGCTCCCTTGCATGTGGCACTGCCTGCCCCAGCACTCCACCCTGACCCTATCCGCTACCTCCAGAGTTGGGGACGGGCCAGGAGTATCCCAGATAGTGCCTGGGGGGCTAAGATAAAGGACTGGGGGCTCACCCCTCGATAGGCACTACAGCTATTGTCCAGTCTGGCTGCGGGCGTAGGTGGGATACTCCAATAACAGACTACAAAGGTGCCTACGGTACATGACGGGGCTGGGCACAGCATGGCCAGGCCTGCTGCAGGGCTCCCAGGGCTGTCTGGTCACTAGCCATGCCCGCAGATGGCTAGCTCACTGCTCTGCCGTTGTCCCCGCCTGGTGACACAGACCCCCCACACCCACGCAATGTCACTCTGTGGACACCTGGACACCTCAGGGAGAGACACCTGCCCCACGTCCTCCTGTCCCCCTCCTCTGAGTGGCCCTGGGCGGCCTGAGGCCACACCTGGTCTGCATGAAGTCTTAGCTCCCAGAATGCCCAAAGACCACCTCTGCCCCGTGTCGCAGGAAGCAGAGGTGCCTGGGAGTGGCACTTACACAGCCATGGGTAACCTGAAAGAGGAAGACAGTCAGGAGGGACTCTGACACAGAATGGGGGGCCACGGAGGCGGCGGTGGTGGCGGTGGGGCCGAGGAAGCCATGCGGAGGAGGTGGATGGAGCGGCGCCCGGGGGCGGATGGACAAGTTGGTGAATGCACGGTGGGGCAGCCCCCCACAAGCACAGTCCACAGGGGCTCCGGGGAGCCCAGGCGGAAGAGAGACGGCCGGACAGCACAGATGGTGGGACATCTGTCTGAGGACACAAATAAAGTGGAGATGGTCAAGGCGATGGCACACAGGGCTGGCAAAGGACAACTGGTACGGCAGGAGGGACTGAGAGGGGCAGGCGGTCAGGCTGGCCAGGCCACGTCGGCCTGGAGTTCTGGGGTGCATGGTGGCCTCAGGCAGGCCCTGTATCACCCCTGGAGATGGGGGAGAGGCTGCCAGGGCTCTGGAGGGAGGCAGAATTCAGGGCTCTCCCAGGCTGTCTCCAAGGGCTAGCTAGTAGCCACCAGGGGAAGGAGAAAAGCATCTCTCAGCCATGGAAGATGGAAACAGAAGACAGGGACCAGTGGAGAAGCCAGAGGTCAGCGCTCGATGGCAGAGGTGCACCAGCCTGTCTCCTCACGTGGCCACTGCGTGTACAAGTGGGCTGAGTCACTGCTTTCCTGGGGCAGTGGCCTGGAGCTTCGTGGGCAGTCTGTGGCAACCACAGGGCCCTGGCCTCAGAGGTGGCCTGGACCGAAGCCTGGCTCTATTGCCAAGGCCCCGTGTTCCTGGGCCAGCCACGAGCCCCTGCAGACAGAATGGAAGCAGCTGCCTTCCAGTGGTGGTTCTCAAGGGGGCAGTTTTGCCCATGGGACATTTGGCAATGCTGGGGGCATTTTTGGGTGTGATAGCTAGATAGGTGCCATGAGCATCTCATGGTTTGAGGCTGCTTAAGATCCCGTGATGAGCAAGACAGCCCCCCTGGACACAGAGTCATCCTGGTCAAACTGACTAGAGTGCCGGTGATGAAGAGCCCACCATGCAAGCCACGTTGTCGGGGTTAAACCCACCATGGCGAGGGAAGCCCTTCACGAGCTGTAAGGGATGGTCAGTGGGCAACGGTATGTCTTTGATTCCACGATGCCACTGTCGATAAAATGCACTCTCATTTTGATGACTAATTCTCAAGTAGACAGTATTACACTAAAGAAACAGAAGAACTTTAAGACAGAGCCTTATTCAATGATTAGAATTATAAAATAGGGGAACCAGCAGTTAGCGTAATGGCTATGTCGCTGGACTCCCACGTAGTCGACCGCGGTTCGTGTCCCGGACCCGGTGGTTTAAAACTCACGCCGGGCGCGTGTGCGTGCGTGCCCAAGATCCCGAGAGGAGAATGGAGGAGAAGGGATTGCGGCGTGACCATCCCCCC